CTTGTGGTTCACAGTTCAGTGGCTTAGGCAACCAAATATTGCAAATTATAAAGAAAATTCCTATGATCATCTGCATTTAGAAGTCACTGGTATAGACATTTGGAGTCCTGGTATGGTGCCATGGGTTAATGCACCAGACTATAAAGCCAGGTCAGCGGTTCAAACTCACCAACTGCTCTTCAGAAACCCTATACAGGGTCGCTATGGGTTGGAATAAACTTGACAACACTTAACAACAACAACGGTACAGGCATTATGGCTTGGTTGGATGTGTTCCTCTTACTTCTCAATTATTTCTCAGTCCTCAAATAAATGATTTACCCTTTAACAATGGCAGTGATTGTACCTCATTGGTGAGATATTTGCGGAGATTGTAGTTGAAAAATTCTAGTCATATTGCTGACCCATGATCCTGATACAACTGTTTAAACCATATCACTTACCACATATTATATTTGAAGTAAAAATATGATAGTAAAATGGTCATGATGTTAGTGAAGATGTAAAAGTCTCCTCAGAGAAAGAATAAGCTACAACAGATGTGGAAGGCATGAGCAATCATTACCCTAGACTGTTATACAATTTTGTGAGCAGCAAAAATTAGCTTCATTTTTCCATGGCCATGATGAAGGACCCTTGCATTACTAAAGTAACTTAATACTTGATCCATGTTCATTTAATAATCCTTCAATTATTAATTATGTTTAATTTTTCTGTTATTAGGAGCCATCTAGCCCCTAATTCACAGCGACTGTGTACAATGTAACATAACAGTGTCTGGTCCTGTGCCATCCTCACAACTGATGTTATATTTGAGCCCATTGTTGCTGCAACTGTGTCAGTTCATCTCATTAAGGGAATTTTATGTTTGCCACTGACCCTCCTGTTTCCAAGCATGATGTCCTTCTGCAGGGACTGGTCCCTCATGACAACATTTACAAAATATGAGAGACAAAGTCTCATTGTCATTACTTCTAAGGAGTATTCTGGATATACTTTTTCCAAAATAGATTTATCTGTTCTTCTGGCAGTCCATGGTACTTTCAATATATAAATCAGTCCTTTGTGACTCAGATTTCAAAAAACTTGATCAGTTTCTATCACAGTGACAAAATTAATTTCTCTGGCTTGTTAAATTGAGGAACAAACCTTAGACTTTCCTATGAAACTCACTTTTGGGCAAGGAGTAGGGTGGTCTACATATAGATAAAAGCGTATCGTATCAATAACAATCTTCTCTGGCACTTTCTAAAATTTCTAAAACGATATGGGAAAATTGATTTGGAAATTGTATTTTGATGGAAAATTTTGTCTGTGATCAAAAGTCCTTAGCATCTTTCATTATGCTCTTTTTTTTTTTTTAATATTAAATTTGAACTGAAGCAATCCATTCAGATTCTATGGGGATGGTGACAATTAATTTTTTTATGTTGCTCAGGAAATTCCTTGACTTAGCAATAATGTAACTTCCTGACAATCCATTAGAAATCTAGAGCCTAGCACATTTAAAATGCTTATACTTTAAGTAGGAAAATAATTGGTTTTTATTATTCTTTTTCCTTCAACATGTAGTGAAAAAAAATGTTTATTTAACTATTTTTAAAGAGCATGTCTACATCCTTTATAAATTCTTGACCCCCCCAAAGTATTTTATATAAAAGGTTCTTTTTTTTTGTTCTCCATCAAATAAAGAGATAGTCACTAGAGACATACACAATTCTTTTTCCAGTATACCATGGAATTCCAGGATGTTTTAAAATAATTGTTGAATAAAGATTTTGAGTATGGCCTAGGAATTAGAAATTCAAAAATATCTGAAAAAGTTTACAGAAAAATAGCTGAATGGAGTAAACCTTTGGTATGAAATTCTTTCACATTGAAATCTCAGTTTTATTATTTTTCTCTCAATATAAATACTAATTTCCCTGCATATTATATGCATCAGGGACTTTTATTATATATTTCATAATGTTAGCTAGTGCCTTCATTCTTACAAATAGAACAGTATTCTGTTCTATTCTGCTGAGTTAAGCATTGAAAGATAAAGGAATCTAGGAAACTTAACAATGTCTTTAAACAAAATCTTCATCAATAAGTTGCACTTAAGTATCCAAAAGAAAAAGTTCTATGTAATCTTTGATTAAAATCTTAGTATCTTAGTCTCTAAAGAGTCTTACAATTTTGATTAAAATAAATTTAGTGACAAAATATGAACTCTAAGAAAATATTTTGCAGTTTGGTCTTTGTTCCCATTTGCTATTTTCTCTAGATATAGTTGGATAATACTTCTATATATATGAAACAATAATAATCAGGCTCTTCTAATGGAGGCTAGCAATTTTTTCTTCTGTTGGAAAGTCAGAAAGATAATTCATAAGCTCAAGTGTTCCAAGAATGTCTTTATTATACTTGCTGATTTTTACCTTCTTTCCTTTCCTGTGGTCCTCTTCACATTCCCCTTAATTTTAGAATAATTTAATTTGAAACATTATAATTGAATAATTTATAAGAGAAAGGCATCTGGAAAATTTCCTTACAAATTGTTCAAGGCATTTTCTGTCTCCTGTCTATATTTTTTCCAAAGTTCTGTGAGGTATGTGGAGGAGTTAAGATACGGGAAAAAGAACTACCTATTTTACTTATATATCTTAGTAACTATTTTGATCCTAACTGTACAATTAATAATCTCATATGGAACTTTCTGTTTATTTCTTAAGAAAACTGAAGGCACAGTTGGAGGATAATTACTTGTTGCTGGGTACCATTGAGTTGGTTCAGATTCATAGTGACCCTTTATAAGGTTTCCAAACATTTTACCTTTTCCTCAATATAAAGATATAACTTCCCCTCTCAGAAAAGCATGAAATCACTGGACATTGAAAATTGTTGAGAAAGGAGCATTTGCATGCAAATTTACTAGCAGTACATCCCTATGGGAGACTAGAAGATCAATTTCATTCAATTTTGCATTAAAATACCATCCACTTAATTGGAAGAATGGTCTAAATACAACATTGCTGACCTAGAAAATGCCACTTGAAATGATGGATGAAGATTTATTTTCAGATACACCTTTGTTTGCTGAATGATTCTTGGCATCAGAGAAGCAGCCCCATTATGATTCTGCATTTAATAGCTCAGTGGGAGGTAGCATTTGACACAATCAATAACTAGTCATCTTCATAATGGCATAAAAGGATACTGACAATGGGGTTGCTATTAAAAGAATTTCCTGTTTGTTTGTTTTTTAATCAGGATTGCATATCAACAATCCACTTCAATGTAGAAATCATTTGAGCTCAAGCTGTTTCAAATGTAGGTTCAGGTTAAAAGGTCTGAATGTCTTCATTGAGTCTCAGATCCATAAAATATTACCCCTAAATCCTGCCAGTCTTTACATTTTTTATTTTTGAAATTTAATCAAATCTTCATGTCAGAAAAATCAAAATGAGTAACTTGCTAGGATCTTTATTTTAATAGGACACACCATTTCAGGGAAAACTGGACATAGCTGACTCCTTGTAGAGTGAAAGGAAAATATTTTGTGAGGTATCTTTGTCACTACAGATTTCAGTTTTTCTCTGCAGGACAAACAGTTATTTAAAAATGCTGGAGCAATACTGAAGGCAAGAGAATAATGTGAAATTTACATAGTCTTTGACTGGAGTCCAATATAGAGCACAGAAATACCATTGTGGTTTCCTTTTCTGAGAAATTGGCCCTTCTACCAAATTAAGTTCCAGGCTTTCTTTTAAGTGGTCTATGAGATGAGAGCCTCTGAGGCATGTCAGAGAACTTGTCTTACAGAACTTTCATTGAACCCAAACAGCATTAACAACTTTACCATACA